AAGAGAGAAATGCTGCAGAGTGACCAGAACCCGAGGTCAGTTTTTCATCAGTTTTAAGCCCAAGAACTCAATACTGCCATTTCACAGTGGTGCAGTGTTCTGGAGTGCAGTTGTAACCCTTGGGAGTGGATGAGGAGCTGGCCACTGCTGTCAGGGGAAGAATGACTCGTGTCTTTACAAAAATACAGCTTTTTGAAGAGTTTTGATGTGCTCCTCGGCGTCTGGCCCAGGGTCCTTCTTCAACTGGGGTTGACTTGGCTCTGGTCATCAGCAGGGGGTTTAGGTTGGATCTAAGGATGACATATTTCTCCATCCTCATTGAGAAGAAAGGGAGAGGCTGCCCAGGAAGCTGTGCACACCTCATTCCTACAGGTGGGCTGAGCCAGGTTGGATGGAGCCTTGGGCAGCCTGCTCTGGGCATAGGATGGCTGTGTGTAGCGGGCAGCAGGAGCCCAGGGCAGTGGGCTGCTGGGTTCACAGCATGGCTGCTCAGCTCTGGCTGGTGGCAGGGGCTCGATGCTAAAGGGCTGCGGTTGATAGAAAGGAAGTGTTTGTGTGTAAATGCTTGCATTACCCAGGAGCTTCATAAATTGTGGCGCTTTTAAAAGGGCAGCGATGTACCCTGAGGTGCTGCGGATCTCCCAAACGAGAAACGGCCTCTCATCGTTCCTGTCCTGTGCAGCAGCCTGCTTTCTGCTTCGTTAAAAGCACCGTGCGTGTAAATGAGCCCTGTTCTGGATTGGTGCAGGGGATTTGGGCGAGCTCCGTTATGAGCAATGTGGGCTTTGTGTTACAGGTTCCCTGGCTTCCGCTGCAATTGAGCGCGATTCAAAGCCTGTCTGAATTTTACCTTTTAAAAAGGTAAATGTTTTCTGTGCCTTAATCCGAATGCAGCCATTTTTGTCTTATTTGGAGCCGGTATATTACGTTTTCAGTGGTGCTACTTGAGAGGAGATGGAGCATAAACTGACACAATGCCTTCTGTAGCTGAAAAGAATAAAGAAGCAAAATGTCTGTCTTGCAACAAAATGAAGAATCTTATGTGTTTAGGGGAGATACATAAATATTTATGTGTTGGATTGACATCTTCTATAGTGTTTGGGTTTTACCGGTCAATATTTTGACAGATGTAACTGATGAAGATGATGTACTCTATTAGCTTGGTGAATGCCCAATTAACACCTCTTGTTCGGCTTACAGCATCGAGCAAAGATTTGCTGTAGTCCTGATCCTCCTGCTTAACTATTCCTGCGTTCAGCAATAAACATGCTACTATTGCATGCGACTGGTCAAAGGCCAATTCACTGATGGCTTTTCTTGTCTTCAGCTAAGGTAGAGTATAAAATGTAAGCTTAATTTTAGTCCAGATATGTTTCTGCATTAGCAAATAGCGTGTCCCCTCTGTAATCAGCTGGGTGAGCATGAACCTTAGCACTGACAGCACGATGGCCAGCTGCTGGTGCATCAGGAAGCATCCCCATGTTGATGGCGTAACGACCTGAGCTTCGTTAAAGGTTTGAAGGTTTCTGCTTTTGAATGGAAACTTAGAGCAGCTTTTTCTCGAGGCAGCGAGAGGTATTTTACTGCAGAAAGATTGCGTGGCTATTTTTAGCCCCGGGTGCTGGTGAGGTGGAACAGAATATTTTTAGAGCTGTAGAAAACGCAGCCACTCAAGCTGCCTTCGTTCATTCTAATGCCATGGACTTTTTCTGTGTCAAAATAGAGTAGAACTGGTAGGAAATGTTTTTTACGCGTCATTATTATTAGTTATGCTCATTATCTCTTTAATATAAATATTGATATAGAATTTAAAGTGTTTTAGACCTGTGAATAGCGCTCCAAAGGATTACGATGGTTTTTACTCCAACTTTGAAAACTCGTTACTCATGTGAACCAGTCAATGAAAATGCAACAAACAAGGTGTGATTGGGGCACGCTCGATACATACCAACCCCATCTGCTGCTTGGATCATTGCTGGAGTGAAGGAGGTGGAATAATTCAGCAGCTGGTGCTGGTGGTGACTTGGTAAGAGGAAAAAGAATTGCTGCACTGCAGTTTGTGTAGCTCAGTGTGTCTCCTGCTAACATCAGGGCCTGGGTGTGCTGAGTGCAGGTCAGTGTCAGCTGTGCTCAGAAGAGAACGTGCGTTTGGTGCCTCGCCTTCTCTGGGTTCTAAGGTGGGTGCATTAGGTAGAAGTGAACAGTTGGCTCCAACGCCTCCTCCAAAACAGAGAGATTGCTGGAACAGGAGAAGTGGGTTTCCATATCGCTTGTCTGAAGCTCTTCTGGTTGACATCCATTTAATTACACAAATTGGCTTGGAAAGATTGTTATTATCCACGTTCAAACATCTACCTTTTCCAGTGTCTGAGTAATTCACAGGACTTGTTAGCAGTAATACTCGCCATGCACGGCATTCCTTGAAATTATTGTGTGCATGTGGAGCAAAAAATATCCAGTAGGCATTTGTGCTTGGTACCTCTTTTCTGGGATGTGAAGGAAAATGGCCTACAAAGTAATCCTCTGAGCTCTGCCATTCAGAATGTGCGAAAGAAAAGGTTATAAAGCTTAATAATTTATAATTGTGAGGGGAAAAATGTGTTTCTGGCAACTTTCGTAAGAATTTTTGTATTAACTGTCTTGGCTGTGTTCCAGCTTTATCAGATTATAAGTTCTATTTTAATCTGCTCCGTTGTCAGCTGGAGATCTTTCTGCCTCCCTTTGTTAAATAAAAGCTATTTGCAAGGCGTGGTTGGATGTTTTTTTGCCATAAAAACGATTTTCTTATATCAAACTGTATTTGTATATTTCTAGTTGTAATTGAATTCCATTACTCTGAAAGTAAACAATGTGTTGATCTGGTCAGGGTCTGCTTGGCTCTCCTAAACCCAGCTCATCTGCTGGATGAACTGGGAGAAGTCTGCTGGCTTGTCTGCCCTCCTAATTTCCCAGCTTCCAAAATCGCTTCCACGAGGAACACGAACTCCTTACAAACAGGGGAGTTTGTGTTGTCACAGATGAGCTTGGGAGCCTTGCGCTTAGACGTGGAGCTGCTAAATTAGCTCCCTTTGATTTGTTTTGTTGAAATTTTCATGCGTCGTTTGTAGGATAAGTAGATCTAGAAATAATAGATAAGGTTATAAAAAGGTATGAGAAAACATATGGGAGATCAGAGAAAACCACAAAGAAGAAAAACATTTCTCATTTCCCTCTCAGAAGATGCTTCAGTTTGGTTTGCAGCCCCCCCTGCCTTTCCTCCTGTACAAGGGGACGAGAACACATCCTCCCATCCTCCTCCCTGCTTCTGCCCCTGCAGCATTGTCACCCCAGCATTGCCCTCATACAAAGAAATGACCAGGAAAGAAAAAAAAGCCACCACATCTTAGTTTTGCTTTCCAATGGCACACGAGGTGGCCAAAACAAACAAAGGATGAAGAACTTGCCCTTTTCCCAGCTGGTAGCAGTGGTGGGGCTGTGTCCCACGGCTCAGAGCCTGGCTTTGGGTTTTGGGGACTGGGATGTCTTCCCTCTGCTTGCATCGCTCAATCTGTCAAGAGTTCTGCATCCTTTGAAGATTAGCTTTTACGTTATCTCTCTTTAATTAACAAGTTGCTTCTTCCTTCTTCCCAATCTGACCCTGCTCCTGTGTGATAGCTTGTACACAGAAACAGCGTCCTGAAAACACTGCAGTGGATATTAGCACTGCTTTACAGCTGGGGAGGGTTGAGCAGCATGTGATAGAATGCACCTCTGACCACTGGGGACCATCAGCTCATAGACTTCTGCTTCCATTTATTGGGGTGAGTGCGTGTGAGGGTGATAGCGAGCCCAGGTGGAGGTGCTGGAGGCCTTCTTGTGCTGTGAGCCTCAGCTGGCAATGTTAGAAATGCCCTACATACAGGTGTTCCTTCAGGTAACTCAATGCTTAGAACAGTAGCTAATATTTTTACAAAAATTCTTGTGCAGCTGCTATTCTGTTGCTGGCCCCAGCCTACCACATGCTGCCTTCAAGGGAGTACCTGAGGTATCACCCTGAAGTTGTCGCTCCTCTGTTGGTCCAGGGTGTATGTATTAGAGTAAGGCATAGAGTAAGGCCTCTAATACAGGGCATGTATTAGAGTAACTCAGAAATGATACATTTGAGTGCTCAGAACCAGAGTTGTTGGCAACCTGGTGCCTTTATTAAGAGCGGAACTGAATGGTGAACTCATCAGCAGGTGTGTTGGAGTGAAAGCTGTAACCCCTTGGCCATTTCTGCAGGAAGGTGATGCGGGCTCCTGTTTGTTCCAGGCCGTTTCCTTTGCTTTGGATGCAGTCAGGCTTTGTGTCCTTGTCCCCCCCCCCCGGGGGAGGAAGTGCCTTCAGAGCACTATTTTGGAGATGCTTAATGTTTCTTTGATTTTTTTCAGCAGGTGCATTAATTGTTAAACACTGTTTGTGTTGTTGTGGAGTAAGTAGTGCAGAGTTGAAGGACTTCAAAGCCAGACTTCACTGCTGTGTGTTTTGTGATTGCTGGCATAGTACGTATTTGATGCATCTAACCTTATAAAATAGCTTCTGGAACTGTGAGAAGTTGCCTAGTTGTACTTTTCAGTCCCTCTGTATGCTTTTATGAGGTAACCCATGGTCTTGTGTGTTAAAGGAAATGAAGTGATTGAGAATTACCTTAATTTTTTCATTTAATATCAAATCCTTAATGTTGCTACTGTGACTGGTAAAGTCTTAAGCTGATTTATCTCAGCTTTGCTGTTACCTGCATTGCTTTTTTAATGTATACTTTATATAGAAATATAACAGTTGTTTATTGTTTTTATTTACAAGAGAAATCAAATGACAAATTCCATCTTGGCTCCAAAATTGCTTGCAAAAGCAGATGTGTATCAGATGATTGGGCTATAAATGTGTTGTGTGTATGTATGCACACGTTTTAACGAAAGGAGGCTGTTGTTAATTATTCTGTATTTACTGTTTTAAGGCAATTATCTCTTGTTTTCTTCCAGCATCAGATAACAGTCAGCGATTTCGAGAAACCTGCTTTGCATTCGCACTGACGCCACAGCAAGTGCAGCAAATCAGCAGTTCAATGTGAGTTTGACCAGTGATACAGTATTTAAATATTACAAAGTCCTTGAAAATACCCCAAACTCAGCTTACAACAGTTTTCATTTTAAAATGCAATCTTCAGTGTGCATAATGCTCACAGGGTGCTCGTGTGGGGAATTCTTTTCTCCTTTGTGTGTAAACTGATGGAGGAGAAAAGGGTGTGGAATGAAATACCTCTGCTGTGCTGTGGTTTCTCTTGCAGTAAGTGCTGTACAAATACAGAACTCTCCTACTTGCAGCCCCTTTTCACAGATCAGATCCTTCATCGAGTTCTATGTTTATTCAGTATAAAAGTGTTCCTCACACTTACCATCAAAATTTTCTCTTTACTTTATCAAAAAAAGGAAGAGGTAGAGATCAGGTGAGGCTGTAACTGGTTTATTCCCTTTGAAAAATAAGAAGTAGTCTGTATCTTGGGAGCTGTGTTTTGACTGACCAGAAGGGAAGCGCGGTGCATAAAGGGCTGTGCAGAGATCTGACTTAAAGCAGTGTCTGACAGAGCATTGGCAAACCTACTGTACAAACAGTGCATCTTAACCTGTTGTCTCTCTTTACCAGGGATATTTCTGGGACCAAATGCGACTTCACAGTACAGGTCCAGCTAAGGTATGTATTTGTATGGCCTGTTCTCAATACTGTGATTTTTTTTTTCTTAAATTACATTGTGTTATCAAAAACTGATAACTGTCTGAACTTAACTAGAGGGCCTGTCGTAGGCATCACGATAGTATCTGATGGTGTCTACTGAAATTGGAGTAGGAGCAGTTGAAGAGACTGTATGTGCTGCCCTTTGTGAAACACTGGTCTGGAGTCAAGGTCAGGCTGGAGAAATGGTAGGAAAGAAACTTGGATGATCTATCTTTTGTAGTGAGAAGCTGCATATCTGAGTGAACCTGTTGTTAGGCAGACCCAGCCTGAGGAATTCAAGAAACCTGAGGAGGAACCTACAGCCATCTTGACCTAAACCTGTAATCAGGGGGGCTTTCCTGCTTAAAAATCCATGAGGCTAGTTTGGGAACTGTATTTAGCATGTTTTCACAATTCAGTGGGAGGAAAAATAGTCATCCTAGGAAGAGATGGCTTTTAAATCATTTTATTAGTGAAAGGTGATGAAGCTCTTTGGGGGGGGTTGGACTTGATGATCTCTGGAAGTCCCTTCCAACCCCTACAATTCTGTGATTCTGTGTGATTCTGTGATTCTGTGATTTGCTTTTAGGTTTTGTTTATCAGAAACCAGTTGTCCACAAGAAGATCACTTCCCACCCAATCTGTGTGTGAAAGTAAATGGGAAACCATGCAGCCTTCCAGTAAGTAAGATGTTATTTTGACATACATAATTGGATAGCATTGTTAAGAGCTGTCTGTCAGAAATTAGCCTGAGAATTTATCCTAACCTTTGTTTTCGCGTTTTGGAGCATTTGAATGAAGACAGATAGAGGAATGAAAAAGATAGTTAAGTAAATTGTTTCTCCTGAGACCAGCCAGCAGATCTAGGAGACTGATATTCTGAAAGCTTGACAGTCAGTTTTTGTTTGATAAACATCCTGTGAGTCTGGCTAACGTGGGGCTCTGTTTCGGAGATCACGCGTGCACCGCTGACCAGCAGGGCTGAAGAGTGAGGCGCAGACTTGGAGGAGTGGGGCAGAGCACGGGGTTGGGCTGGGCAGTGTAAGCCAGGCACATGCAGTGAGCGCCGAGAAAGAGGTGTCGGAGCTGCCTTCTGATATGCCAGTGGATAGGGTTCAGATTTGCACAGCGTGGAGCTGTGTGTAAGGAAAAAGGAGTGGGGAAGCACGTGGTGTTTTGCTGTCTGATGTTCATGCTTCTTAAACTGAAGAGGAAGCCCGGTTCAGGTGGGACCCAGCAGGTATTGTGGCAAGGCTGCGAGGAGCGGGGAGGGAGAAGGTGAAATCACTGTTCTTCTTTTGCTGAGGGAGAAAGTCCTTTGATTTCTAGGGCTATCTTCCACCAACCAAAAATGGTGTTGAACCAAAGCGACCTAGCAGACCAATCAACATTACCTCACTCGTCAGATTGTCTACGACGGTACCAAACACAATCGTTGTTTCGTGGACTGCAGAAATTGGAAGAGTAAGTAACTTTGTTTGGTGCGTAATGGTGTCTAAAACTTAATGATTTCTGCTTGGCATCTGCTCGAAGGATTTGGAAGAAAAACAAGATTCATTGTGCAGGAAATACTTCATGGTTTCGCAGTGGATCCTTCCTTATATTGACTGTATTACTCTGTCACTTCAGTCTGGGCTGATAAGACATGCTCCCCTAGGTCAGTAGTCCTCAATTTTTATTGGTGTGAGCTGTCTCTCCTTACCTCTCACCCAGCTGTCTCTGTGAGTCAGGGCTCAGACAATTTGCTTGTCGTAATGCAGGCACCTTCCTGGTTTTGGGCACTTGAGAAACAAATGTGGCATTGTGTATAGAGCAGGGGCTTATGACCTTGTAAATGTAGACACTCAGCATAGCAGCTCCATAGGATTCGCATTTAATTTCTCTCGCATTTCTGTTCTCACAAATGCTGTCCTTCTATTTAATATTTAAAAAGTCATGATTTTATAGCTTTCTCTTGTCTGCAGGGAGAGCGTCAGAACGTTACAATTGATGCTGTAAAATTGCTGATGTTCCACTGCACTAATTAAATCTGGAACGTGGTGCAAAAGCTTAATTGAATAAGTTAGTCCCTGAATTAGTGCCTTACTTTCAGTGATGACAAATAACCGCTGGTTACACGTTAAAAGTTGATACGTGCTTGAAAAAACTCTGGCTTTGCCATTGCAACCGTCCTGTTTTTTGAGGTCCTGAGAACTGTCCTGGGCTGAAACGTGGTCCAAACATTTGTCTGAGTGCAAAGCCCGGGATTCCTGAAGTGAAGTGGAAGAATGCTTACAGCCCAGCCGTGCACAATAGGCAGTTGTAAAACACCACGATGGTATTTCATTCCCTCTCTGTCATGATGGATTTCTCGTGGAGCGTAAAACAATCTCCATTCAGATTACAGAGTAAATGATGGCTGAATGATTTTTTTCAGAGTCATCTTTTATCTAATGAGAGCCACAGGTATCAGAAATAAGCATTTGTTTTTAAATCCATTTTGGTTTTTTTTGCAGAAGTGCCTGTGCACACTGATGACTTTCAGTCCAGTGCTGTGCATTTTCTTAAGAATACAAATGGGGACTTAGGGAAAAGAAATGTCACAAGTTTGCAGCCTCTAAGCTTCTCTTCAGTGACCTGGCAATTTCCTTAGCCTTCGTAGATACCAGTTACAAAAGAATATACTGGCTAACTTCCAGCTTACAATATGAAGCTGAAGATAGGGGCAAATTCTTAGCGTGCTTCATGGGAGTTATGTGCCAGTCAGAACTTCCCCTCTCATTAGATAGAATGCTTCCTAATGTGATTGATTGAGCCCTGGGCAGTTAAATGTGAGGAACTGCTCTATTTTCAGATGTGCCTGCATAGTACAAAATCTGAATGCCTTTCCCCACCTTCTCTGAAGTGTCAGTTGCACATCTCAACTAATGTACTCTACCTTTCCTAAAGTCATAATTGTGATTTTTACACAATCTGTTTCACGAGCCTTCTGTACAAGACGCCTTGGGCAAGTTCCTAGCTTTGTAGATTCAAGCTGTCTGTAAATAATTTCTCAATGTTAATTAGCTTTTTTTTCTAACTTCTATACTAATTGAGGCATTAAACAAACAAGTTAAAGCAGTAGTGGTTTTTAACGATGTGAGATGCATTCATTGTAAGAATGAAATATTTAAAATGTGCTTCTGATGCTATTTCAATTTGTGTAATTTTATGCTAAGATGTATTACTGAAACCCCATCTCTGGGTTCTGGTTGCAGCCTACGTAGAGTGGCAGATGTCACAACTGCCTGGATTTTTCTGGTTTGTTTTGCTAGTGAAAACATACATGGTAATTGCTGGGGGTCAGCCTTTCATTTTTCAATTTCAAGTGTGTATCTGCAAGTCTGGAGAATGCTTTATATCAAAAAGTAATTGATGCACCTTAATGTGAGGCATGTTCTGTCCTTTCCATTATTTTTCTATGGAGCGGGGGTGGTGATGGTGTTGCTGGTGATTGAATAGCATGATATGCCAGTTTTAGAAATGAACTTCTATTCTGTTTTCCAGAACTATTCCATGGCAGTCTATCTCGTAAAGCAGCTGTCCTCTACGGTGCTACTGCAGAGGTTACGAGCAAAAGGAATACGGAACCCCGATCACTCGAGAGCATTAAGTATGTCTGATGCACTGCTCTATTAAAAAAGTAGCTTTTGTAAGTGGAGATTTGAAATGGGGCTGTACTAATCAAGGCTTGGACTTCCTACAATTCTCTGGGTTTCTAGAATCTGATAGTGGTGTTCTTTGTATTCGGTTCCAATTCAAAGACTCCGAGGCTTTTGTTTGTGTTAGGAGCCAGTCCAGGAACCCTGTTGACACAGTGAAGAGAAAAATGCAAGAGAATCTCTTTCAGTTCAGTCATGCTGGTTCTGTTTCTTCAGAATACAACAACTGTATTTACATAGTTAACTGGTAATTCAGTACCTCGGCAAGCTGAACTAAATGGCAGAGACTGAACCTTGATGCTGAAGTGCTGGAGGAAGGTCTTCATCAACACACTCTTTGTTCCTTTGGCACACTGTTGTGGAGTGGGCTCCCAGAGAGTCTGGCACAAAATTCCCTCCGCTCCCTCCCCGCTCCTTTCCAAACTTGGTGTGAGCTTTATTGCTTTGTTGTTTTCTGACAAGATTGCAGTGGTAGAAGAAAAATGCAAACAAAATCTGCTACGCACCCTTTTTTCCAGGGGAAGTATGAAAAGACCACTTGCCAGCTGTTGGAGTTGTACTCCTTCACACTCTTTTGGGAGATGCTCAGATAATGCGCATTGCCCACAGGAAAGGGAGGAAATCAGCCCTGCGGTGACTGCAGGCCCACAGAGCTGATGCTGTGTAGTGCTGAGCAGAGCTGATGCTGTGTAGTACTGAGCAGAGCTGATGCTGTGTAGTACTGAGCAGAGCTGATGCTGTGTAGTACTGAGCAGCAGCTTATGGCGCACAGAAATCCAGCTTTCCCAGGTGGCTGCCCCTGCTTGTATGCAGGAGGGCAGTGAGGGTGTAGGTATGGTTCACGGAGCAGGAAGAACGTGGAACTGACTTGTTGACTTAAACAATGGCTGCTTATAAAGCAGTCCTCTCGGATAAAAATAGAGGCTGGGTGGAGACTGAAGACTGGTGTATTCACTAGTGTTAATGTTTCACTGCAGTTATTTAAAGCTCCACTTTTGTCAGGGTACTTCTGCTGTGATTTCCTACTTCTCCATTTGATTTTTGGTCTTTGAATTGGAGGTTTTCCCGATGAATGTTTCGGAGGGTTGCACAGACTTGTCCAAGGGAGAGTTACTGAAGCTTTTTTAAAAGCAGTTGAAGTTAACAGTGGTGTTACTGTTGTTCATCGTGGTGGTGGCTTTTGAATAACTTTCAGCTGAGCAGTTGTGTGCGTGGGGAAAAAGCCATTTGTATATAAGTATTTTTTCTAGGTATCTGGGTTTAAGAAGAGCTTTTCCTACTTTTACCTTTCTTAAGTTGTCACGATCTTTCTAGAGGTAAAGATGGCTTACATTGCACCTTTACTGTGCAAGTTAGAAACACTGCTGCTTGCCTCCAGCAGATGTTTTAGAATGATTTTATTTCTCTTAACAAATTTATTTTAAATCAACTGTAAAACTAACTTACTTTCTTTCAAATAACTTACTCTCTTTCAAAAGTCAAAGAGAAACTGACTGCAGATCCAGACAGTGAAATAGCAACGACAAGCTTAAGAGTTTCTCTTCTTTGTCCGGTAAGTGTTTTTAGTTCCCTTAAAAATCACTGTGATTTAAAAAAAAGAAAAGAAAAAAAAAAAGTGTGGCTGTTGAGGGACGAGGTTTTGGTAGAGGTTGGCTTATGTTCCAGCTTCATGGGATAGGATCCAGTACTGTAATAAAGCTCGTGACTTGCCCCTGAGCAGGTGAGTATTCCATTAACTTGAAGATGCTATTCAGAACGACATGGAAGCACACGTCTGAATCTATCACTAGGTCGTGCACGTGTGCAAATTGGGTTCCCAGTGTTTGGTTGTGGTAACACCACTCTCAGCAGGTGATTCTGTCTGTTCAAAACAGCTCTCCAGCCAGTGCCTGCTATCAAAGAGTTGAGGGTCTTCTCAGTAAAGGTGATGATATGCATTTGTATGTGTTGAATATTCTGGAGTCCTAGAGAAAAAATGAAGAGGTGATCCAGAGAATGTTCAAATACAACTTGTACCAAAGGTGAAGTGAGGGGGTATGCTTCCAATGAACATGGAAGTGACAGACCTGCTGCATCTTGACCTATTGTTTTTCAACCAAGTGCATGTAGGGTTTAGCAGTGGTTCATAGCTGGCTTTGTTACCATCGGCCCAGCTGCGCACTGTTAACATTATGGGTACTTTTAAAGTCTTTGGGATGTGGTGCTCTTGTTTTAAATATCAAACACTTTCAGAACACTTGACTGTTCCATTGTATTCTTATTGTATTGTGTTCTAGTATTGACTGACGCAGTGTCTTTAGTGCAGTATAACTTTTTAACCTGCCCTCAAGATTGAGGATGAATCTATTTTCCTGGTTTGGCTCAGTCTGCTCAACTTGACGTGAAATTCTCAGTTTTGAAATGGAAAGAGAATTCTCTTTATTCTTGGGAAGTTCATTTCAGTAGTTATTAAATGTCTACTTCAGCTCTGTCAATGTAAAGAAGCTTTTTACAAAGCAAAGCTTTTGTATCTAAAAGCCCAGTGATTACATTCATGTTTTTTTTTTTTTTTAAAGACTATTGTACATCTTTGTGTGGTATTTTCACAATCTTTCTTAAGGTTTCACCATCAATATTGGGGTGGAGAACTGTAAATAATAACACATTGATAGACTAATATGATTTGTGTGTAAATAAGACCCAGGGATTACTTTTACAGATCAGACTTTTATCTTAACCTTGTAACCTATGATCATAGGAACACAAGAACCAGTGCACCACACTGAAACTGCTGCAGACTGGCAGTGCTGAAGGTGCTTTAGCTGCACTTGTGTTGTGCTGTTTGCATTCTGTTGTTCTGGACATCACACTGACGGCGCTGTTGCTTTTTCTATCATTCATTAGACAAGATGTTTTAACCCCATTATTAGTTTCCAGTATAGACAAAAATAATAAATCGGTTAGAATTAAATGACAGCAAGAGTTTAGAAGTGCCCACATATTCCTTATCTTGAATTAATCCCCGTGCATCTTCTGGAAGTAGTTTATTGCTTTGGCCATGGTTGATTTGTCAAAAGAGCCACTTGAGGCAGTTGGGTTTCTTCATAGATTATTCTGTCTCAGTTTTCTGACACGCTTCTGTTTTCCTAATTGTGTCTATTAATGATTAAAGCTCTTCAGCTTTAATATTTTGAAGCATATTTTTTCACGTTGTCTGTGATTTGGGTGAGTTAGTGTTAGAGCAGGAAGGTACAAGATTGCTTTTAGGATTGCAATTCTACAAATACGTGAAGATGTCAAATTTTAGTTACCTTTCTCATAGTTACATGGGGATGGAAACGAGACACCAGCTAGACATTAGGCTGGAGCTCATCAGGAGCCCCGCTTTTCTCCCTGATTCCTCTTGGTTCTTTTCTGAGAGACATACAAAATGGAGTTTGCAGCCACAGATTTATCTGCATCATTTTAGTACTCTCTACAAAACGTGGACTTTTTTCCAATGTGTTCCTCACCCAGTGCTGTCTGATCTCACTGTAGCTCTTGGAGTAACCCATCATTGCAAAAGCTCTGCAGGACCAAGACTGCCCCTCTCACACTGTGCTGTGGAAAGAAGGATGGCTAGCAGGATTCAGGCTGCCCTCGACTCTGAATTCGGTTTTGTTGGAAGCTCCACGTTTTCACTTGCAGATCTGTAAACATTTGGCTTAGGGAGAAATTTTTATCTGTATTTTGTGCTCGCTTTCAATTGCATGAGTGCAAAGTGGACGATTTGAAAGTGCAAGTTGAAAATGCTTACGTGGTTTCCAGTAGCAAAACTAAAACTTAAAGATCAGTGCATCTTCAGGTCTGTCGATGTGAGGATGCTGATCCTCCTGTCTCATTCGTTATGTGTGGTTCTATCATGTATGTACTTGAGCAAAATAAATGGGATTGCACGTCTGGAAAAGGGTGGCAGGTTTAGACTTGATAACCTTTATTTTGCCCTCAAAAAGCAATAATAAAATTAAAAGGTGGAGCCAGGCAGCTTGCTGTGGCTGTGTTTTGGGTTGCTGCTGAGCTTTTTTTAGCACAGAGGCCTGCTTTCCCTCGGAGAGCATACAGCACAGAGAAAAAGCTGCCCTTAACTGTTGGCTGGATCTGCCTCAGATGCAGCAGGCAGAGGCTGGGCTGAATCTGTGCTTCAGGAAGGCACTTGAATTTGTGTTTTTTGATTTTTTTTTTTTTTCCCCTCTCTCCTCCCGCCCTCAGAATAAAAATAAATCCTCAGGCTCTGCAGCAGGACCAAATATTTAGCTGAACAAAAATTCCAAATCCAGCATTTCACCGTAGGTTTAGCAGCTTTGTTTACAAATCTGTAACTCCTGTTTTGGGTCCGTTCTTTCAGCATGAAAAGATAGCCACGTTTTGTAAGCCTGTGAAAGAAATGCATGCAGCGTTTCTTTTGCTGACAGCGGGCAGGAACCAGTAACAGCACTGGGAGTTTTTCAGAAGTTGGGAAGCATCCCTTCTTTTATGACCTCTCCTTTTGTCAGTTCTGACACAGCTTGGCCGGCGTGGCAGAGCTGATCCAGGCGTTCGGTGCCAAAAATGGGGAAAGGAGACCTTTCCTGTTAACACTGTGTGTGCTGTTTGTGTGCATAGGGCTTCTGTGAGACCCAGGCTCAGTTTCTGTACCGAGAGCTTGCAGAAATGTTTCTGGTGGAAATCTTTTCAATTTGGGATGCTGGAGGATTTCAGTTCTTCCTGCAGCATATGTGTTTGACCTGTCTTGTTTTTCTTTGGCATCACGTAGAAGCACCCAGTTTAATCTCCAGCACTCTTACTCTCGATCCTCACTGAGCTAGGAGACTCCCTGTGCCCAAAAGACAAATGAGCCATTGACTGCCATCTGGGAGATAAGGATTCATAATAGACGTGGGTCAGGGGCCCTTGCTTTGTTGGGGGCTGATTATGGTATAGAAATAATGTGCTTGGTCATGGATTTTAGAGGAGGGGTGCCAGACACATGGCACATGCAGCACCTCCTGCTGCCCCAGCTCCAGCACCATTACTGCAGGCTCCCCGGGGAGGTCCCTGCTTTCCTCCATCTGGTGGTGAGGTCTGTGGCAGTGATGCACAGCCAGAGGGGACAGAAATGAGCAGGGTCCTGTAATCGAGCTGAATTTGCTGAGAGTGGGGCGGGGGGGGATTTCTGCTTACGGGGGTCCAAAAAAAGGGGAGGGAAAAAAAGCATCATGGAGGAAGTAGTGGACTGTGAGTAGAGCCTTTGTTCTTGATATTGTTTTTAGTTTTGTGATATTCTGAGATTGAGTGCCATCCTGTGGCACCCATCTTGTACTGCTTGCAATCAGTATGCATGACCACACTGCTTAAGCTTACTAAAAACAGTTCCTCCTCCCAGCCACTGCTGGAATTAGCTGGAGGCTTCAAGTGAAGTCATAACATATATTTTGGTCAGTTATCTAGCTTCAAAATAGTTGGCATCAACTTCTTAATAAATCACTGTGATCTTTTTCCACGTAGGGAGGAGTCTCCTTTGGACTTTGTTGCTTTTTAGTGTAGGCAGTCCCTCCTAGAGTGCAACTGCTGCAGAAGCAACTGCCTGTTGAAGAAACTTTTTGTCTCAGATGAATGTGAAATGCCCACCACTGTCCAACCAGCGTTGCGTTTGTTGTAATCGTGTGTTGATATTTCATGGCCTGGGTTATCATTAATCTATCTAATCCAAATCAAGCTGTTCCTGTTGTCAAATCCAGTCTGTGCACCTGCTGCGTGCAGCACCCCTGTGTCTGCCTGCTCTGCTCAGGCACTCGTTGTGCTCTTTGTACTGAGCGTGTGGAAGCTTTGTGCTGCCCTCAAAACCTGCAGATGGGGAGGAAAGGCTGTTCCCCTCTGAAGGCTTATGTTAGCACTTAGATTCTTGCCAGCCCTTTGTGGTGTTGAAAAGATGTAATGTATAACAGGGGATGGGCAGCTATTTGCATTTTGTATAAGGAGGCAAAAATATTTCAGGGTAACTCAACTGTATGCGTAACAGTGATGTTTAGCCCAACAGAATGAGTATAAAATAGTTTCTTAATGGTTAACAGGTATGGTTTATTTCATGAATTGCTGCTTTCTGACAGTTTTTTAGAGAAAGTGCTGAAAATAACAAAAAACTTGAGGAAACACGTTTCCACACTCGGGAGCAAGCATACAGGAGCACGTTTGCAAACATGTCCCAAGTGTGGAAATTAACCAGGTAGTTGCAGTAGTGCCCTGATGGCTGGGATATGGGCAGCAGTTTGAGCACACACTTCATCAGCTGTGAGTGAATAGGAGAGGGCTGACCCACATTCTTTGGATTTCAAATACTAATGAGCATGAAGAATTATTTTTCATGACTTGTCCAGAACACTGGTATGCTGCGGGTGGTTGGGAGGCTCTGTGTGTTGTTGCCAGCATGGAGAGGGATGTAGTCGTCAGTTTACTTGATCAGATGTAGCTGAAAACGTGACTTCAGTGAGGTTTGTATTGCCAGTCAAACCTAGAAATGAGGAAGGGAGGGAACAGTGTATTATGGCATGTGTGCTGACTGAAACTTGGACTTGGGGAAGTGTTCTGGAGCAGAATTCAGCCCATCGCAGCCTCTCTTTAGACAGAAGAGCCCTGTTTGTTAATCTAATAACAAGGTGATGCAATCTCTTTTTTTTTTCCTACAGCTTGGCAAAATGAGGCTAACCATACCGTGCAGGGCTCTGACCTGCTCACACCTGCAGTGTTTTGATGCCACTTTATACATCCAGATGAATGAGAAGAAACCAACTTGGGTTTGCCCTGTCTGTGACAAGAAGGCACCCTATGAACATCTCATTATTGATGGGTAAGTACAACTGGATTCAAAATGAAGGATGTAACTTCTACTTTCTGTCACTGTGTTTGTGCAGTACAGGGTACATTGCTCTGCAGTCTTGGTTATCTGATTATGAGCTGTTCTAAGTGGCCACATCTTTGAATTTCCCCACTGTTAAGGGCTACTTACCAGGTGTGTCTTCTGTCAGTGTTCTGGAAGAACAAAGGTGATCAGACTGAAGGTTTATAATAATTGGAGGTATTCCTTCCAATCTCAGGCAAATGTTTTACTACTGTGCCTCAAAGTTGTCTGTTCTTTCACATATTCACATATGATGGATTCCTAGTTGAAAATAGCACATACTGACTTTTTTCCCCTTAAATAGAGCAACTGCACAAATCTGGCATAATTGATAAGACATTTGTGTCAGATCAAATAAGTGCTGCCATCTCACCCCCCCATGCACATACAATTTCACACTTGGGGAGTTGCTGTGTATGGAAAGTGACAGAGATCAATTCCCTGGGACTGCCTACCTACAGAGCGTTAGGAAAGCAAGCATTGGTCTCTGTAAGGAAATGTCAAATATGAATTCCAGAGTTTGCAATTCTATTTTTTAGATAGGAGCTATCTTTTGGAGGAATGTGTGTTTTATGCTGAAAACAAAGCTAGAGCTGCAGAAAACCACTCTCAAGCCCTTTTGGAGACCCTTGGATCTTGTACAGGCAGCTTTGGAATTGGGGGCCCTTGGATTTATGGGTCTTCTGCTTTGGACTGAAGAACTATGAGGATTCTTGCTCATGTACAGCAATAGAGACTAACAGTTTCAGCCTCTAGTAGCAAAGACTAAGAGTTAGTAAATAATTAAAGGAATGTATCATTCTTATTACCCCTGTGTTGTCAGGTGTGGATGTTGGAGATTAGGTGACAGAACAGCAGCATCCCAGAGAAAAGGCTCTTTGTAGAAATGTTTTAACCTGGGAAAGAGCAAACTTTCTCGCTAATTAAAGCAAAGCTCTTTCCTAGGCAGAACCACGTGAATAGTCTTGGTCAAAAGCTGGAATTCACACGGGGTGATGTGGTGCCAGGATTCTCGATGCTTTGGAGACGCAGATAGGAGAAGAGCATGTGAGTTTAGATTCCCATGCTCAGCCTTTGTTAGGAACCTTTCACTTAGAAAGGAAAAAGAGCTTTCTGGAAGTACTGGCCCTGAAATGCTCAGCTGTAGGGATTGCTGTGAGATACAGGCTTTCTCTGTTCCACGCTGTTGAACAATCTCTTACTTCCCCGTGTTTATTTTCATGTTTGTTTACGTTCTTCCTTTGTTTTGGGAAATACAGAGTTCTGTGTTGTGAGATCTGGAGTGTTCTGAACCCATCTTTTAAGTGAATGTGCAGATCTGTACTTTAGGTAGTTTTAAAAACGAAAAACAAAAAGACAAAACAGTAACTCCATTTTAATAAGGCAGTGGATGAGGGAGGGATGAAGCAGCAGCAGTTATCAGTCCCTTTTCAACACTTTTCAAATGTAGAGTGGCTGATAACAAAGATACTGAGTTAGAAATGAGTTATCCTCTTTTTGAGGGTGGATACTAAAAGATTTTGATTGACAGGTTGTTCATGGAAATCCTGAAGTATTGTACAGACTGTGATGAAATTCAGTTTAAGGAGGATGGCTCATGGGCTCCTATGAGATCGAAGAAGGAGGTGCAGGAAGTGACCACATCTTACAATGGAGTTGATGGTAAGTCGTGTTTTGGGACGTGTGGACTGAATGTCCTACTGCTGCACTTCAACTTTGATATGCTTATTTTTGCTTGTGGTAACTTTTTTAGGCATGTTTGCAGGAAAGACTGCTTGAATAATTCCCTCTTGGGGCCAGTAGTACTTTTTAAGGAATAAGTGATGTGTCAATTTGCTGTCTCTAAGTTGTTTCTGGAGGCAGTATAGTAAGCTGTGATGTGATGATGATTGTAGTGTTGTTGTAAACTACAGCTGCTGTTGTCTTGCCTTGTACAGGGTGCATAAGCTCTTCCTTAGAACATCAGGTGTCTTCTCACCAGCAATCAAACAAAAATAAGAAGGTAGAAGTGATTGATTTGACCATTGACAGCTCGTCAGATGAAGAGGAGGAGGAACCCTCTGCGAAGAGAAGCTGTCCTTCCATATCTCCAGCATCACCAATGAATAATAAGGGGTGAGAGTTAAAAATGCAGGCCAATGCAGAGAGAATGTATTTGCAACAAAACGCTGACAAATTTAAAACTAAAGCATACTTAAATTGTTCCCAAAGCTAGTAGTTTGTTACAAAATAATTTGGTCTTGGCTTACAAAGCCTAAAAAGATTGGAGTACAAGATGTTAGATGTATATTCTGCTATGTAAAACACACATACAACACTGTGAAGGATATGCAGCTCATAAGTGAAGTTGTATATACACATGCTTTCGTAGCTTTGTAAAGTTAACATCGTTCGGTGAGTCACATGATGCAGGTTTTTAATTGCATTTGTGAAAACGAGGTTTCATGCAAGAGGTTGTGGCTTAGAGGTATGTTTTTGTGGCTTTGGAAATGCTTTCCTTCCATAGGGAAATATAAGAGCAGCACATATGGAGAGTGAGCAGTGAGAAACATACTCGGGTGTGGTATGGGACGTGTGGGTTTTGCCAGTAACTGCTGCCAGTAGCATAGCAATAAAGAATGCCAGAATAAGCTGACTGCACTGAAGTAGCCATGCTGTTAAGAGCACCCTGTTCACGTAAACGTGCGGGGATGAAAACTGAAGCTAAAGCTATGGGATCCTGCTGTTGAACTCATTACTTCTCCAGTGATGTTAAACCTCTCAGTGATCGCTTAAAACTCTTCAAGTCCTTTTTGGGTGTGTTCCATTGTTAATTGCCTTGTAAAGCAGGACTGTCAGGCAGATTTGTACCTCCTTCTAGGATACAAGATGCCTTAGGGTTGTCTTGTCCCAGCTTAGGAGCGCATGTAGAATCTCTGTAGTGGAGATTCCTGTACCATTTGCAGTGGATCCCATCAGTTTCTTCTGTTAAGATTGAACTTTGCTTTGCATTAGTTTTGCTGAACTTCAGCAGGCTGGCAGTCTGTCTGGAACTGAATCAGTGTTCTGATTTAGCAACTTAATTGCAAGAAAAAAGTTTGGGGAACATGTAATGCTCAACCTCTTTCCCCTGCAGGACTCACCGAGGTATAGCAGCAGCTTGATGCTTTCTAGAGAAGCTTTGAAATTTAGCAGGGAAGCTGTTAATGCCTGTCAGAACAGTAATACAGTGTGCTGAGATTGTTAAATTTGAGATGGGCACCCCTGCATGGGACAGCAGTAGAAATAAGGGAATCTTCGAATGGTGTACTTATAGTCTTGGCTGTAAGGTTAAATTTTATCCTTTAAACCTTTTGCTTTTTCTAGTATTTTGAATTTACCCCATCAAGCATCTCCTGTGTCAAGAACACCAAGCCTTCCTGCTGTTGACACCAGTTACATCAACACATCACTTATCCAAGACTACAGGCATCCATTCCATATGACACCTATGCCTTATGACTTGCAAGGTAAGCTTCTGACTGTTCCTAGCTGTGGGTACAGCTCTCTCAGCAGCTGTGACTATTAGAGAAGGATTCAAACATACAGTTGTTTCACAATCTAGTTGTGCAAAATAATATTTCTACAACCATAGAAGGTAAGGTGGAATTTTAAGAGAAGGAAGGTTTAAGTTAGTGTCTTAGGGTGTTAAAAGTCTGATTTCTTATTTCTTCCAAGATCTGGTGGTGAAGAGAGTCTGAAGTGTCGTTAGTTTTATGCTGATTGAATTTGTTTCATTTCAAAATTTAGAGGGAGAAATTGGGAGGTGCTTGTTTGTTTTGAGAAGCTTGACCTCTTTTTCTTTGGCTCTTTTCAGGTTTAGATTTCTTCCCTTTCCTGTCAGGAGACAATCAGGTAAGTTAAGGAAAATTAAATCATCTGGCAGATTGCTTTTCTGAAAAGGACTTGCTGACTTGGACGTATAGGCGAGAAAAGAGCAAATCTGTGACACAGGTGTGAGTGCAGGCAGTCTGTACCTCTTGTGCACGCAGGGTGCAGCCAAACATGAGCACTGGCCTAAATACAGGTGCAAGATAAGGCATAATAACAGATAAATACTTCTCTTCAAGGCCTTGAAGCTGGTTAGCTGCAGGTATATTGTGGGATGACCATTGGCTGTGGCTGAAAGTGCACCAGCCACCTCCTGAGCTTTTGCAGACTTCAAATCTGTGTGACCTGTCTCCATCTGACAGAGCTAGGCCCCACCACTGGGCCTCTTGGCAGTTTTCTCTACACAGTTTTGAGAGTCAGGACAGCTCTTGTTTTCTTTTTCCTTCCCCTGAGTCTGTGTGCCTGCTCACACTGTTTGCTGCTTTTCTGTGAGCGCTTACTGAAACGAGCTAGATTTGGTGCTGGCTTCTGCAGTTCTAAAAAGATCATTCTCAAAAGGATTGGCAAGCCCTCCCACTTGATCACAGTGCCTCCAGTGTGTCCAAGCAAAGAAGAGGACTGGGGTTCACCCACCTTTTGTCCCTCCATTCCTGTTCAGCAGCCTCAGATAGGAGAATGGTACTACAAACAAGGGGACTTCCATGTCATTGCAAAGACTGGAGCCAGTTTAACAGAGCTTGGATTCAGAGAAGCTTTCTTCATATTCAGTAAAAACACAGATATGAGGATTACTCCGAAATGAGTATTGCCCAAGTCTGGTGTTGCACTGGCATGGCATAATTGTACCAGTGCCTGAGTGTCAGGAAACAAGGCTAAATGGCCTGCGTGGATGTTTCCTCCTGGTGAAAAGAAATACAGAGTGCAGAATTACCATACAGATAGATAGCATTTCAAATCCAGATCTTGGTAATTGAAGTTCTTGCCTTTTGGGGGCTGCCTGTCAGAGAGTATCACCTTGGACAGCCCTTGCTGCCTTCTGATGGGCCTAAACGTGCTATTTCTAAAGGTGTTTTTCACAGAAGTATGCTTTCCTCCACCAGCAATGAGTAGCACGTAGTTTTAGCAGCTGTAGTTGATGACTAATGAGCAGAGGGATGGCCAAATGATTCTTTGAATTTGGGGGTATTTGTCCACCGAGGAATTGTATGGAGAGGTAAAAGAGTGCTTCTGCTTGCCGTTCCTTACTGTTTGCCTGTCTTGCAATGCCGCTGCCTTTCTAGTGTTTTTTCTTACTAATTGCCAGTATTTCCCATTGTGTTTGGCTCTGGAAGTCAGGGGCTGCAGAGGTAAAAGTTGACTGCGTCGATCCGCTCACCTTACAGAAAGGTTGAGCGGGCGAGCTGGTGTGAAACCCAGCAGCTGTCAGAGCTGTAGCTTACAGATATATTCTTTTTTGCTGGTCTGAATCAAAACAATGGTGTCTGAAATGTAACTTGCAAATGTTGTTTTTCCCCCCAGCATTACAACACATCCCTTCTTGCCGCTGCAGCTGCGGCAGTTTCTGCATCAGATGATCAAGAACTCTTACACTCTCGTTTTTTCCCATACACTTCATCTCAGATGTTTCTCGATCAGCTAAATGCAGGAGGAAGCAGTTCTCTGCCAGCCACAAACGGTAGCAATAGTGGCAGTAACAGCAGTCTTGTTTCCTCCAACAGCCTGCGAGAGAATCATGGTCATCCAGTTGCAAGTAGGAGCGGCGCGGACACGGCGTCTATCTTTGGTATCATATCAGACATTATTTCCTTGGACTGATTTTTGGAGAAAACGAACTGGTCAGAGGAAGTCTTTGTGCTTGGTTTTACTTTATGTTAGAAACATAGACAGGTTTTTTTCCTTTTTTAGGGAAAAAAATTTACATGTACAGAGAACAAAACTATATTTTCAGTTTTACTTTTGTATATAAATCTAAGATGGCCTCACAGATTAAAAAAAAAAAAATAACAAAAAAAAAAAACCCACAAAGCAAAACACACACACAAAAAACCCACAAATACAAGGAACTTCGATTTTCTGGATGCTGAAGATTCTACACCTGTGCATTTGTCATGTGAGTTACTTTTTCTGCCCTTAGTTTGGACACAAATGGCATTATTCTCTTCACAGTAACATAAATGGGAAAAGGAACTGAACTTCTGAAGTTCAAGCTCCTAGGTTTTTTCTTTTTTTTCTTCTTTTTTTTTTTTTTTTTTTTTTTGCCTCTTAGAGACATCTGTATTTGGTGGTGGAATGTAATTCCCCCATCCCATTTTGGTGCAGATTTTGTTGTGCTTGAAGTGGAATAAACCCTACCCAGCCTGTTCCGTACCGTTCCCTCAGTTTGCAGTACGTAGCCTTTCAGGAGTGTTTATCTGTCATTTTTTGTTCTGTGTGACCCTCTGTTCAGCTGACTTTCTTTTTAATTCCATGCTTTAATCAAGCATGTTGCAAGCTCGTTAGTGCACCAATTATTCTGGAGGGCCAGACTCAATAAAATGTCAGGCTGAGAAATGTTTTGGCTGTGTTCATGTGGGACAAGACCAAATTGGTACAGAATCTAGCCCCAGAGAAAAGCATCGACACATCCCACTGCAGGTTTTTGTTTCTAACAACTTACTATGAAATCCTTTTAAAATAACTTCAGATCCTAATCACAATATTAAGCATGTGTCAGTTTGAGATGTGTGGAGCTGCTTGTGCTTTAAGGTCAGCCAGGCGTGTGGAGCTGGCCCGCTGGGCTGGGCCTGCCTGCTGGCTGGGAAAACCTCCTTTGAGCTGCAGTACATCAAATTTCTGCTTCAAAGTGAACTTGTCAGCAAAAGGAAGAAAATCCAAATGCCAACGCTCTCTTGCATGGTTTGTGCAGCTGATAGTGGTCTTGGTACACTGTCTTCTGAGTTCGCCTTCACCGAGTTAAGTTGATATTCAGTGTTTAATGTGAGTCTGTTAGACCAAAAAAAAGCCCGGCGCCCTTCCCTGCGCTTAAACCAATCTCTGCCTATTGAAGTCTCCCAAGGTCGTGGGTTCCTGTTCAGTTTTCTCCCTTTGGCTCGGCGATTGTTTTCATTCCCCATTCCTTTCCGTTCACTTCCATTGCACTTGGAGCCACGTTTGCTTCCTGGTTTCACTTCTTTTTTTTTTATTTCTCAGCCATGTGTGACATAGGAAAATCTTTTTGTAAGAGCTGGTGGATCATTTGGGCTGATCCGTTCTTGTTACAGAGAAACGTGTAAATAGCTGGAATGCAGTTTTTCAGGAGATTCTTTAAAGTGAGAGCAGGGGGAGGGAAGGAGGTGATTCTCTTGTGTCCCAAAGTCCGCGTCAGAGAGAAATGATTTCCTCTGGTGTGAAAACTATTTTTGTAACTGGTTGAAAGTGCAGGTAACAGGTTTATCAGGAAAGAGAGTGAGGAATACAGAGGTTAGCAGATGCTTGTCTGAGTTTTTAATGTCCCAAGCTGTTGATTGCAGCTGTAGTTTGCTTTGAGCATTGACGAGGGCCACCTTTTGCCTATGAAGTTGTCTCAAAATATTGCATTAATTAAAAAAGGAAAAAAAAAAAAAAAAAAAGAAAAAAAAAAAAGAAAAATGACAAAAAAAAAAAGAAGAAAAACACGTTAATCCAAGTAGCATTAGGTATTGCTGTATGATCAGTTGTATGGTTCTTTGAAAGGTTCACATGATTATGTGGCATCAAAATTGTTTTTAGTGTTTTTACAGCATCCCTCTGCCACTAAATAGTTGACTTGAATTTTGAAAACAAACGTTTGTGTTTATATGTATATGTGTGTGTATATATGTATTTATAGATCCGTGTGTGTGAGTTAAAAGTGAGTTAAATAGTTTTTCCCATGCATGTGTATTTCATACATATCTGGCTGATATATATATATATATTTCACCATACACCAATTTTATAATTTATTAAATGTCAGTTAAAAAAAAAAAAAATAAAATAAAAGGATAGAAAATGGGAAATACTTATTTTTTAAACTCAGTCTGATTTCGAAGTGATTAAACCCCCATGAGGAATGTGTCTGGTGCATTTTAGCCGTGCGTGCTGCCCCGTGCCGCAGAGCAGCCGCGTCCCGTCCGCGCCTTTGGTAAAGCAGAGCAGCCAGAGACGTCGGCAGAGCGCAGCGAGGCGATGTCCCACTGACTGAGCAGCGTGCTGAAGAGGAGCAGAGGAGCAGCCTGCCTCCGTTTGCACCACGGTATTGAAATCGTTCTTGTGGCAAGCGTGCTAAGACAGGATGCGGCACCTCGCTGCCCGCGCTTGGAGAGTGAGGCCGCCTGGTGATGTCTTGCACTCCTCCTGCCTGGCCCCGGAGGGAAGGAAGGCTGCTCAGTTTGCTGCTGCCGTCTCCGACCTCGTTGCTCTGCAAAGAAGGGAGAGAAACGTTCCCGAAACTCTTTGCGGTGTGAATCCCGTATGCTTTGAGTGTTGGTGTCTCACGCTGGGCTGTGCTGTATAGTCGACCATCTCTGTGCCTCTGACCACAGCTAACGTGACTTGGTAGAAGGCTCAGTCCGAGTTCTCGAAGTTCCCTGCAAACGGAGCTCCGATCCGCGCCGTCACGTGGCTGAGAAGAGCTGCAAAGCGCTGCCTGCTGATGCTGGGCGGCCGCGCTCTGTGGTTCACGTCCCCGAGCTCCTGCAGGGGAGGGCTGGGGGTGGGAGCCCTGCGTGGGGTCAGGGTGCGCGCACAGCGTGGGCCGGACGTGGCTTTGGGTGCTGGTGGGCATCAGTGCTGCGTTGGAAGGGAATAAACCACAGCTTGGAACTGCAGTGCGTGCAGGTTGCATTGAGAGCGTTGTGCTGCCGCCATCAGCGCTGCAGCAGTGGCTCCAGGCCGACCCGCTGCCCCCCCTGCAGGGTGGCTGTGGGGCAGCCCCCATACGCAGCGCTGTGGGGAGAGCAGTGGGATGGGAATTCCTCCCTGCGGGTTCACATTTCAGGGTTTGAAGCACATTTTAAATATATTCAGAAAGGGTTTTGTTTTGTCAGTGTAACTGTTTGGGGTTTTTTTCCTTTCTTTTTTTTTTAACAGAGCTTAGATTTCTAACAAGGGAAAATTGCTGGTGGTCCCCCAAAGTGCTGCTGTTAATTGTTTTAATTAACAAAGGGAAAAAAAAATGTATATAAGCAGAATATTAAAATGACCATTAACTCAGATCTGTCATTCATTGCCTTAAAACTTTCTCATAGTTTCCATACGGCATGCCAAACCAGTACATGGCTTTTAAAGATGTATAGTAGACCAATGTCAGTTTGTATAAAAGTACCAAGTGAAAATATTTATTATATGCATTGGAAAAAAAAAAAACAAATGGTTTACCTATTGAATGTTACCTGTTTATGTAGAACTCTTTAGATGTAATAAAAAGCATTCGGCTACGTTGTGTTTCCTACAGCCACACGCAGCAGGGTGGGGGCTGGGGGCTGGGGGTCTTTGGTGGCCCAGGTCCCTGTGAGCAGGAATGCTTTGCTGCTGTAGCATGGGGTGATTCCTGCTGCTGCCTTGCAGCTGTGGCCGTGCTGCTGGGGTGCTGGAAGAGCCTGCTGGTGCTTTGCTTTCTAAGCAGTGCTGTGCTGCTGGAGTTCCTGCCTGACTTCACAGGTTGTGTGATGGCATTGGAGCTGTGCTGCGTGCCTTTGAGAGCCTGAAGGCACTGCACTGACTTGCTGTGAGGGTTTCCCTGCTGGCTGTCTCACAGATGGAGCAGGGAGTGTTGGTTGCTGCAGAATGAATGAGAAGAGGGAGAGGCAGCAGGAGGCGGTGGGGACGTGCACTGAGTCCAGCCCTGCTTGGGCTTCATGGCTCTGCTGTGTGCTGCCCTCAGTCCTCAGCTGTGCTGCCATGCTGCGGGTGGGATGAACACTGACTGCCCTGCATCACCTCAGCTTTGAGCAGTCTAGAGATGCGTTTTTGCTTGGTGTTGTATTTTTTTTTGCTATTACGGAAAGCTGGATTTCCATAGCCTGTTTTCCCTGCCAGACACCTGCAGGAATGTGTTCCAGGCCAGCCCAGAGCTCGGCGGCAGACCCAGGTGCTGCCTGAACGCAGGGGCAACTGAACAGCACAGAGCCGACCTGTGTGATGCTGCACCTGAGCAGAGTGCAACGCTGCAGGAGGGGGGAATGAGAACTGCCACACTTTGAGGCTGGCAGCATCCCCTGCAGCCAGCAGGCATCGCGCCCAGCTGCATCCCTTCTAAGTGCAGCACTGCTGTTGGCAGCGTGTGGCCGGGAGCTCTGCTGCTGGGTCAGGCTGCGGGGCCTGGCAGTGTGAGGCAGCAGGACGTGGCTGTAGGTTTGCTGTACGATAAGAAGAGGTGCGAAGCACGATGCTTTTGCCACGTGGGAACGTCACACCTCATTTATTTCAGTATCAGCTCGCAGTTTGAGAGAGCGCTTCTCCGGGGTCCTGGGGAAGCGCAGCCAAGGCAGCCCCTGGGTTCCCAAAGGCAAATGATGATTCCTGAGTGCAGGTGGTGATGAGGAAAGATGGAGTGAAGAGAAGTTGCAGGTCCTGCTGCTCGCAAACCCCTCCTGCTGTCAGTAATCGACTGCGGGGAGGCAAATGGTGTGGGTGAACTCTTCGTATTTAATTGTGCCATTTGGCCCGATTTTGGCTTCTTTCAGCAGGTCATCGACTGCAAGGAAACAGAAGGAAATACAAGGCTGTATTGGGTGTAGGTCAGTGGTACTGTGCTGCTTGAACAAAAGGGAACATGGGATGTGGGTTTGTGAGGTGGTCAGGCTCTGTTGGAAGTGCCGTCCAGTCTGCGGTTGCTGGACCTGGGTATGGCTCTTGTGAGCAGGCTGAGCACTCTGCTCCTCCTCTCAAAGAGAACGTCCTGCTGGTGTAATTAATTCTTCAATTGAAAAGTAATGAACGATTCTCAGAACACTCAAGTAACGTGGGGAGGGGAGAAAGGGTCGGTTCTCACTGGGTCAGAGCGCACTGAGTTACAGCACAGCTGAGGTGGGATGGGGTCAGGTCAGCATCAGGTGCTTTTAACTGCTGTCCTTCTGCATTGTTTGGACGAGTGGTGGTGGCTGTGGGTTGGCAGCAGCATGGTGAACCCACGCTGATGGTTGTGTAATTAAGAACAGCACGCTAATGAGGCTGTGGGAGCGCTCTGTGTGCATGCATGGGACAGGGGGACGGGGAAGAGAAGGAGTGGGAGCTCCGAAGCTGCCATACCCTCTTCCTCGGACAGTTTCTCCCCCAGTCGTGTCAGCTTTGCCCTCAGCTCAGCAGCAGAGATCAGCCCTCGCTTCTCCCGATCGATCATGGCCAGCGCCGTCAGGATCTCCTTCTCAGGCTCCTCCTGCTTCATCTGCCTGTACATGATGTTGAGGAAGGTGGAGAAGTCCAGCTCCGCATTGCGCTCTGGCAGAAGGGAAAGAAAGGCTCAGCTCTGGACTCTGGGGTAGTTCTACCACTTCCCACATCCCCCAACTTCCCTTCTTGGGGCTCCTTCTGGTTTTTGTCTGACAGGGGCAGCACTGCTGGTGGTTCCCACAGCCCACGTACAGCTGTTCTCTTTTGCCCAGCTCGGAACTCCCCCTCTATGTGCCAAGTCCTGGGGCGCACAGTGACACACAGCCCCCTCCTCCTTTCCCATCATTTCCCAACTCCACGAAATCAACGTTTTGACCACAAAATACCCCCAGCCGCCTCCTGCTAGCATCAGCCAGCTTCGCTCCCTGTGCCCTCCCTCTCAGACCCATTTTGGGATGTGTGTTTGGGACTGGTGGGCTGGTTTTGGGATGTGTGTTTGGGACTCACCGATCTTGTGCAGGTGCAGGTGCCGCTGTGCCTCAGCCGGCGTGGGGCTGACCCCCAGGCAGCGCATCACGGCCAGCAGGTCTGCAGCCCTGATCTTCCCTTTGTGGTTCTTGTCGTAGAGCGAAAAGCACTCCTTGAACTCTAATTAAAAGCCAAAAGTCTCTATGATGGCAAAGGAGGGGATCAGGTGGCTGTGTCGGGTATCTCCTTACCCTGTGGTGCAGGGAGGGGAGGACTGAAGTCGGGGATAGGGGTGGGGCTGGGGATCCTGGAGGATCTTTTCCAACACTGCTTTGGCCTTAGGTGGTGTTTGGGTTGGATACAGAGGAACAGTTTCTTTTCCAAGAGAGAAGTAATGAATTGACACAGGCTGCCTTGGCAGCGGGGCTGGTCCCCATCCCTTGGGCTGTTCAGAACCACGGGGCTGCAGCACTGAGGGATGTGGGCATGGTTGGGGTGGATTGGGGTTGGGGTTGGGGACCTTGGAGTCTTTTTCCAACCTCAGGGAATTTGTGATTCTGTTCTTAAAGTGCCAAAAGTAATTCAAAGTGCAGGCTTGCAAAGCAGGAAGGGATGGAGCATAGCACAAACCCCCCGAGGTCCCCCTCCCCGCCCTCCCACAGGCATTGGGTCCCGGTGGGGCCGCGGCCCCGGCTCCCCCCGCCGCGATCCCGCTGAGCAGATTGGCCATAATACTCTTATTGCTCTGCAGCACTGCTGTGCACACGCTGCCCCCGCCCCCAACCCCCTCCTCGGGGCCCCTTCCGCGGCGGGGGGGGGTCCCTGGTCCGTCCCCCCTCCCCACCGCCCCCCCCACATGGCTGGCAGCCGGGTTTGCCCCTCTGCTCCCACCGCAGCTTTCTGCCTATGGTGGCCCCCCCAGACCCCGCACACCCCGCGGTATGGGGGGGGGAGGGGGGAGGAGGGAGGCACGGGGGGAAGGGAGATTGCTCGGAGAAAAAGGAGGGGGCAACACCCTCTGCTGCGAGGGTCTGGAGCTGGAAAGTAGGAATAATAGCAATCATAAATACATACCATTAATTTGATCCTGGGACAGAAACTTGGCCTGCGGGGAGGGAGAGGAGAAAAACAGAAAAGAACCAAAACTTCAACATCGTTACGGGGACGCGGCGCAGCGCGCTGCCCCCCCCCCCCCGCCCCCCTCACCATGGCGGAGCTCCGCGGGTCGCACCGCGCGGCGCGGAAGGGCCGAAGTCCGGCGGGCGGGGCGGGGAGGGCTGAAATAACAGCCGGAGCGGGGCGGGAGGCGGGGGGGATCGGATGGTTCCGCTGGGCTTTTTCTCTCTTTTCTTTTCCTTTTTTTTCCCCTCTTTTTTTTTCCCCGTTTTTTTCATCTTTTTTCCTCTCCCCCCCCCCTCCCACCCCCCCTTTTTTTTTTCCTCCTTTTTTCTTCCTTTTTATTCTTTTCCTTCCTTCTCTTCCTTTTTTCCTCATATTTTTGTCTTTTCCTCCTCCCCCCCTTTTTTCCTTTTATTTTTCTTTTTTCCTTTGATTTTTTTTTTATTTGCTTTTCTCCTCTTCCTTTTCTTCTCCTCCTCCTTTTCTTCTTCCTTTTTTCCTCCTCTTTTTTTTTCCCTTCTTTTTTTCCTCCTCCTTTCCCCCCCTTTTATTTTCCTTCTCCTTTTCCTCCTCTTTTTTCTTTTTTCCTCTTTTATTTTCCCTCTTTTTCCTTTTTCTTTTAATTTTTTTTTTTTTTTTTGTGGGATCGAGTGTTTCCTATAAAAATGCCGAGCAGACATTACAGCTCAACCCTAAATAATCATTCCCACATATGAACGTATCACAACGTGTCACGAATAAGCAATAAACCAAAGAGCAGGACCCCAATTGATGATAATACATCGAAGTCTGGTAATGCATCACAGAACGGTTGGGTTGGAAGGGACCCCAAAGCCCCCCCTGCTGTGAGCTCAGCTCATTCTGCCCAGAGCCCCACCAGGGCCGGGCACAGCAGCCCCCCCTGCTGCTCCCCACCCCCGGTGCAGCCAATCCCCCCCTGCAGCCCCCACCTCCAGCAGCTGAATATTGCAGGTGGGCTCCCAGCAAAGCCCCCCGGCTGACAGCATTCACCTTGCAGCCAATGTGGGGCAAAGGATTTATTTGAAACACCTCTACATTAGAAAAACTAGATTTTATTTTTTTAATTTATTTATTTTTTCCCTTTGATTCGCTCCCAAATATCAAAAGCTATAAACTCTCCTTCGCCGCCTGGAGGTTGCTCATGTGCAGGGTGTAAAAAGCCCACGGCTCGGGGATGTAAATCACCCCGGGGTATTTCTTCCTGAGGGTTTTGTCGTTCCACAGCCACACCACCCACACAGCAATCAGAACCAAGGTGATGATGAACGAGTAGAAGAGGAAGAGCCCGTTGCTGTCCAACACCAGCCCTTTGCGCTTCTGGTGCATCACCAGAGCCATCATGGCGAAGAAGGTGAAGATGTAGAGGATGAAGATCTGCCCCTCGGTCACGAGGTACCTGCAAAGCAAAGCGCCTGTAGTGTGCACCCCAAAACACGTGCTGGCAATGCAGTGTTGTCCAAAAGGTTTGTACTGACTGTAGGAGCCCATTGCAAGCACCCTACAATGTTCTTTCCCCATTAAAGCAGCTGTTTGGGTTGGTGTTCTCCCTGCTCGGCTCCAAATGGGATACATGGCACTTGTTGCCAGCCCAGAAATCCAGAGAAATGGCTGCGGGGAGTCCTGAAAGCTTAAAGAAAAGGTTGGGGAGGGGGGGGGGGGGAACAGAGCTCTCGTACTTCCCTGGCTCTTGTTTGTGTCTATGGGAAATGGCAAGGATTTGGTCCTTGTCAATGGCAAATAGTGAGGATTTGGTTCTTGTCAATGGCAAATAGTGAGGATTTGGTCCTTGTCAATGGCAAATAGTGAGGATTTGGTTCTTGTCAATGGCAAATAGTGAGGATTTGGTCCTTGTCTATGAGAAATGGGAAGGATTTGGTTCCTGTCCATGGGAGACCTGAGGAACTGTTACCCACAGCTTGTTACCCATTTGTTTTCTCCTGCACCACGCAGAACCGTGAGTGTAAGTCGGGGTGCTGCACTCAGCTGGGGGAGTGCAGAGAGGCAGCAAACTCATGGGGAGTGTTGGAAGCCAGGTCTTGTTTTGGGTACCAGCCCCCAGGAGCCCGTAGGGTGGGGGCACCCATGGATGCCTCCCTGTAGGGAGCTGTGCTGAGGATTGTTCCGGTGCTGGTGGGTGGAATTGTGCTCAGTGCATCTTCAATTGTTTTCCTTGGAATGGCAGAGACTCGGCTGATGTATTTAAAGGCAGAGCAGCAGGGTAAGTGGGAACTGACCAAATCATCCTGATGATTTTGATGATCAAAAATTAATTTAGTGTATGAGAACAGCCTCAGCAGGGGTCAAAGCCACAGGCGCAGTCACTGACAATGAATGGGAAGTTGTTTGGCTGCCATTAGGGAAGTTGTCTGGGAAGAGGAGGCTAATGAATATGGGAAATAAATAAGACCTCTCTCAAAAGGCCATTTAGCCCTGCAGGATGTGTTGGTGTGCATCCCTGTGCTCCAGGGAAAGTGGCACCAGGAGAATCCCAACGCCATGCAGATCAGATCTGTCTGCCCACAGCACGGGGGGGCTGCAGCTGTATGGACCCTGTGCTGGGATTGCTAAGGAACAGAAGAGTAGGAAAAGCACGGGATGCCAGCAGGTAGGGCTGGGACAGCTGTGCCAGTGGGGGGAGCGACACAGTGGGTGACGGAACACCTCAAATTGGGACAGGGACACGCAGTGCTGAAGTGATCCCAGCTCTCAAAGGTGATTTGATTGGATTTTCCAGCTTGGCACGGGAGCTGCAGCTCTGCCCTGGCACCCCCAGCGCCCCAGTGGGGCACTCACCAGTAATAGAGGCTGCTCGGCCCCGTCAGCAGCAGTGCAGATATTGGCATCCTGCTCTCATCCTCGTTGGGTGTGAAGCAGCCGGTGAAGTATATGAAGAGGATCAGGAAGAAGGGGATGTACCTGGGGGCAGAGGCAGCCTGGGGTGAGTTGGGGGCTCAGAGCCCTGCTTTGTGTCCGTCCACCCCACTGTGACCATTCGTTAGTGTGATCATCTGAACAAATGAGCAGGGTGGTGGTGGTTGTGGGTTTACATTTTTGGAGCAGAACTGTCAGTGAATCTGCAAAGAGGAGGGGGGGAACAGTGCTGCTCTGCCCCTCCCCATGGCTTCACGTCCCCAAAGTGATGGGGATCAAAAAATGCTGGCAGAAATGGGCAGCGTTTGGAGGGAGAGATCCCTGCAAGCACCGCAGCGGAGTGCAGGGAGCAGCTCTGCCTCTCAATGCATCGTTCTGAGCCCTCCAGATCAACCCTGCAAAGCGCTTACCACATCGAGTGACCCAAATACTCGTCGTAGTAATACAGCAGCTCAAAGGAATCAATCTGCAATGCAACGGAACAGATTCAAAAGGGCAGAGAGGGCACGGCACGCTCCGGAATAAGAACAAGCAACGACGATGATGATGGTTTTTTAAGCCCTGATATAAAGAAGTGGCTTTACCAGCGTCTCTGGCTTCAGGTTCCTGATGATGGGGTTCTCCCTGACGGACAGGTGGTGCTGGTAGCCGCTGAAGATGAGGCGGTGGTTGACGGAGTCGCCCACCAGGTGGATGCTGGCGCCCATCACGAACGTGATGATGCTGACGTACACCATGGATCGTGGCAGCGTCTTTGGGGAGCGCTCGATGAGCTGCCAAAGGAGACACTGAGCAGTGAGGAGGGACGAAGCCATGCTGTGACAAATTCATCCCTCTCCCGCTTTGCAAAAGTCACCCCACGCCATGCAGGGACCTGCAGAAAAGCGCAGCCTGTGCAGCTTTCTGTTCCCTGCTTGCGTTCCATCCCTTTTTGGGACACTAAATCACATTTTGGGGCACTCGCACCTGAGCCACCGCTCACACTAAGCCGCGATTCCCAACCAGGACACCCAGCAATTCCTTCCCCAGACGTGATCAAAAGCATCGTTCACCAGCCTCAAAGCAGCAGCTGCCGGCTCGCCTCCCCTCGTGTTTCCAGCAGCCTTTCTGTGCCCTCCAGCGGTGAGAGAGACCTCCCGCACCGCTGCTCTGCGCCGCATCCCCGTACAGAGGGTCTGCAGGGGGCTCTGCTGGGTTGCTTGTTCTCCTTTCTTCCTGATGGAAGTGGAGCCCTCCCTCTCTTTCTGCTCCTGAAGTGGAGCGGAATGAGCCCTCCTTCATTTCAGCCCACCCGCTGTGGGCAGGGAAGCGTCGTTCCTCATAGCCTGGGGATGGGGAAGGTCTCAGAGCCCGCCAGGGGGAGATACGGCCGTGTTGGGACCCAGCAAGCCCCGCGCCGCCAAAGCAGCTTTGCAGCCCTTCGTCTGCACGAATGCAGAAAAGCTCCTTATTTGTATTTAATTCTGAGGCTTAACTTTCCCTCTCTCTAACCGCTGCCACTGTCACAGGGTTCGGGGAGGGGAGCCTCGGGCTCAGGGAGCTCCCATCTGGTGTAGGAAGAAGGGCAGAGGTGTCCTTTAGGGCTACACGGGGTGACCACAGCAGCAAACTGTGTCCTATGGAGCACTGAGCTCCCAGAAGCTGGCTGTGCCACTTAGCACAGCTCACACTGAGTGTGAAAGTGCCCACAGCCCCACCAGGACTGGGACTGAGCTTCGCTTTCCAGCCCCAATGGAGTTCAATCACTCCCAAACTCAGGAGAGAATCATTTCCATCTCAGGACGTAATTCAATTCCTGGCTAACGAAGGTTAAAATATATTTATAATTGCGTTTTGTATCTCCTCACTGCCAAGCGTTTCATAGGAAAAGATTCCCAGTGACAGGACAGTCCTTAACCTGAAAACCTAGCTGCAAGATCTGGTGGCTGGATGAATTTGAGCTACAGACGCAGCTCTAATGCTGAACAACAAGTGTAATTAAGCACTGAACGACTTGGGAAACCTGCTGCAGTTCCAGCTGCCCCGTAAGGTCTGGGTGAGTGTTGTCTTAACAAAGAACTTTGGGGCGAAGAGCTTTGGTTCTGAACGTGGAGCTCAAGGGGGAAGCGACCTGCTTTTACATGCAGGGAGCATGAGAACAAGTGAAGGGATTTCTCCCGGGCTCCGACTTCTGCAGCCTTCCCCTTGGATCTGAGCTTCTGTCAGAGGCTGAGCCATGTGGGTGCAGAATGCGGTCAGACCGGGTTTGTTCCAGCTGACGGCACACGGATGGGAAAGCAGCCCGACTCCCACGAGCTCACAGCAACCAAACTGCCTCAAAGCAGGAGAAAAAACCTCAAAAGCCCCACATCTGTGGCTTACGGCCGGTGGGTGGGGAATTGCTGGAAAGGTGAAAATAATTTCCAGGGTGCAGAAAGGTGGGGAGGTGGTCGTGGGCTGCAAGGAGGTGGGCACTGCCTCATTCCTGAGCAGCCAGCATCCTCAGTTCCTTCTGCACTGCACAAGGAGGGCTCAGTGGTGGTTGGGGAGTGGTTTCACCTGAGAAGTGCCACTCGCCCTGCTTGTACAGCTGGCAGCATTAAGAATGGTTTACCTTTAGCAGAAGAAACGGTGTTATAACATTGTAAGCCATGTGGAAATAATCTCCAGCACTCGGTTTGTTCAGGGGAAACCACTCCAGCGGCAGGATTATCTGAGGAGAGGGGGGAAAAGATGCATCAGTGCACACCTATGGCCCAGCTCGCCATTACCACACCTTGCTTTGGGAGCACTCACAGCCCCACACCTGCTTTGGGATGGGAACAGAGCAGAGCTCGGTTTGGGGCTTTGGCTGCTGGCCTGTGGTCTGGTGGCCAGCTCTGCGATGCTTCACACTGCTGTTAATAATGACAGTGGGGAGCTGCTCTTGCAGGGAGCATCCCTCTGGCACCATTGGGATACAGGAGCTAAAGGAACAGTGCGGTTGAATCTCAGCTGCGCATTCCTGCAGTGCTGAGAAAGCACTGAGAAACCCAACAGCAGTGATTTGTGCAAATGCGCTGTTCTGTTCAGGTGCCAGCACTAAAAAACCTCTTTTTTAGGGCAAAGGCCCCGAAAAAACCTCCTGCCACATGCTATGTGGAGAGCAAGAGCCCCATGCTCAAGACATTCAGGCAAAGGGACGGGGATGAGCAGCAGAAACATCACAGGTGTTATGAAAAAGCAAACCTACGGGGCTGGGGATGCACCAGCACTGCTCTGCCTCCCCCAGCTCACCATGGCGATGGGACGGCCGAAGTCCAGCACCCAGTTCTGCAGTGTGAAGTAGAACCAGAGGTCGAGGTGGAACGGGGAGGTCTTGGAGGTGTCCTCGTTCTTTGCTGCCCCATGCCTGGTAGGGACAGAAGGAGAAATCAGTGGGGATTGGGAAGGCAGGAGGAGGCTGCAGGGCTGCGTGCCCAGCCAGAGCTGGTGCTTTGCTGCTGGGTTGGGATTGGTGGTGTGTGTACAGAGCTGGGGCTCTGAGCAGAGAAGGAGGCAGCACGGAAAGCTAAAGCAGCAGGAATAAAAACCCACACGTCTCTTATGAAGGCTCTCCCCGGCTGAGGGGGGAGCACGAAAGCAGGATGCAAAGCCCGAATGCTGAGTGAAGTGCAACTATTTTCAACTTCTGTGTGACAAAACAAAGCTCCCACCACGCTTCCAATGCTAAAAAAAAAAGAAAAGAAAAAGAAAGTGGCGAATGCTATGAAAGTACTCAACCTAAAAAAGTATCGAATGCAAGAAAGTACCCTGCCCTGCGGTGCTCCAGCATGGGGATGGTCCGGCCACGCTGTCAGCTTCATCCTTTGCTCTCAGGGTCATCCCAATCCCTGCCCCTGCAGAACGGCCCCACTGAGCCCATTCCTCCAGGCAGCCCCCCGGACTTCACCTGCCTGTGGCACGGGAAAGCAGCTGCTTTAGGGCCAAGGTGCCACGTGCTCTTCTGGGGTGCTGGGAGCAGAGCCCCAAGATGAGCACGGAGCTGTGGGATGGATGGTGGTACCCTGGAGGGTCGGGATGAGCCTGACAGCCGTAGTTTCCTTAAGAAATTGCTATGAAGTCGGGGGCACCCAACCGCCAGGGATGCCCGGGAGCACTGCAGCATCTCGGATGAGGAGGTGGTACCCGGCAGGAGCTGGACCGGGGGGGCTGCGAGAGACCGGAGGGGTCCACATTGATCCAGGGGGCGGTCAGGGTGATGCGTGTAGGGAGGGAGCTGCGTGGAGCTGGGCATCCGATACAGCCACGATGGGCTGGGGCGGGGGGTCAGGAAGATGCGGGCAGGGGCGCTCCGGGTGATCCCAGGGATGGTGCCGGGAGCACTGGGCACGATGGGCCGCCTCCGTGTCCGTATTCCCCCCACCCGCACCCTTCCCCTGCCGCTCACCTGCCCGCGTAGAGCGGCCCGGAGGGCTGCGGGGAGCCCGGAGCCGCCGCCGGGAACGGCCGCCGCCGCGCCGAGCCCTGCATGCGCCTGCCTGGCCCGGCTCGGCTCGGCTCGGCTCGGCACGGCGCGGTGCTGCTCTGCCGGGGCCCCGCCTCGGCGCTGGGGGAGGGCGGGCGGCTGCGCGGCTGCGGGCGGCGGGACGGGCGGAGGGAGCGGCCGGGGGGAGCCGGGGCTGCGGGTCGCCGGAGGGGCTGTAACGGGCTTCGTTATTGCGACTCTTCGTGTTTGTATTCTGTTCGTTTTCGTTATTGTTGCGTTCGTTGTTATTTTTGTTGTTTTCTGTCGTGATTGTTTTTAATTATTTCTTTCAAACGATGATCGTTACCGCCTCCATGATCCTCCTGTCCCCCATCTTTATGCACCCTGATACGGGAAGCAGCCGGCCAGCACGCTGCTGCTGCCTCTGCACGCAGTGCCCTGCAGCATGAGCGCCAGGGCTGAAATCCACCCCAAAACCGGGAGCAGGCATTGCTCTGTGGGCACAGCATCGCTCTCCTTCCTCCTCCAGCTATCAGAATAGAGAGATAACGCACAGAAAACCCTTCAAGCCCGCAATCGTCCCTTGTATTCCACGTAGAAATTTTAGGCGGCTCGTTTTATTTCCCCGTCCAAAGCGTGCTCAGATAATCCTTGCTATTTTTGAAATAGAGGAAGGAGGGTGAGACAATTTTTAACTCCTTAAGTGCTCTTTAGAAATAAAACCCTATTGGTCCCGAAGTGCCATCACATGCACTGATTTGAACCCTCACCTGGTGGAGGAAATGAGATTTGGAAGTGGGAAAAGGCTGACGGAGTGCAAACGCTGCCTCACACAATTGGCACAAAGGTGTAACCTGGTGAGTCAGGAGAACTGCTTGGGTTGGAAAAGACCTTAAAGATCACAGAGTTCCAAACCTCCTGATGCTGTGCTGCCTTCTGTGTGCACGGCCCCAGTATGTGCTGCCAGGCTGGGACGACAGAGCTCTCTTTGCAGAGAATGAGGCTGGAAGTGTTTGCAGGCTGTGCCACAGCTTGCATGATGATAACCTGTGGTCCTGACAGCACCGAGCATGGCAGGAGAGGCTGCGATGAGGTTGCAGAATGGACCTGGTTTCTCCCTTCGTGGCTGTTTGTGCATTGAGGAGCACGGCTTTTGTTGGGAATGCGAACACCCTGCAAGGCAGAGGGGATGGCGGAGGTAACGGAGAACTCCACTTAAACTCACTGTGAACTCATCATGTTGGGCACAGCTCGGGCTGCGTGAGGCTGATCCCCATTGACTGAACACCCCAACCCCTCTCCTCAGGGCTCCTTTTGGTGACTGCCCGCAGCACGGCCAGGCCACACAGCCATGCATAATGCACGCTGCAGCCTACGCACAGCTCCGGTTGCATGGCTCTCCATTAATTCTTTATTGGGCTGATACCGGATCCCCTTCAGGACAATGGGGCGCAGCAGACGGGCTGCGGATAGGCATGGGCCGTCTGTCACTGTGCTCACGGTGCCCTCGCTCGTGCCAATGGGACCCCAGGCCGCAGGGGGAGCTCAGGGGATTTCGAGGCGTCTTGCTGAGGGCACGGGGGGGGGCGGCTCAGTGGGACGACACACTTGTGTGCACCCTGTTGGGGATGGACTTGTAAAGCTGCTGGCAACTTTAAGCCACGCGTGACTTCAACCCAAACACAGCACCAAGGGGCCAACCCCAAGGCCGGGTTGCCCTCGCTGAGCGGGCTGAGGGAGGCCCCGCGACGGGCAGCGGCGCTGGGGTCAAGGGGAACGATGGAGTCCGCAACGCGGAACGTCTGTGCGCGGCTCCCTGTTTCCGGGTGGACAACGAGGGAGATCGCGCGGCGCTCACTTCCGGTTTCACTTCCGGAATCGGGGGCGGAGCGGCCGCGAGAGCCCCGTGCCCGGCGCGCTCTCCGTTGGGCCCTTCCGGCGACCCGTAGCGGCGGTCCGCTCCCCCGGCGCCCCCTCCCAGCCCACCCCGCGCCGCCTCGGGCTGCGGGTTCGCGTCCTGGCCGGGGGCGGCGGCGCCGGGATGGGTCGTGGGTGAGGAGGAGGAGGAGGAGGAGGTGGGCGCTGGGGCTGCCCCGCCTCGCCGCCGGGCCCGGGGGGCGGCTGGCCCCGAGAGGGTCGCATGTGCCCCCCGCCGGGCCCCGAGGCAGGACGGAGCGGGAGGCGGAGGGAGAAGCGGCCCCGGCGGCCGCGGGCAGGCCCGAGCAGGGCCGGCCGGGCCGGCGGGGCCGCAGCCGAGAGGAAGAGGAGGCGGCGATGGAGGGGCTGGCGGGGTACGTGTACAAAGCGGCGAGCGAGGGACGAGTGCTGACCTTGGCCGCGCTGCTTCTCAACCGCTCCGAGAGCGACATCAAGTACCTGCTGGGATACGTCAGCCAGCACGGCGGGCAGCGCTCCACCCCGCTCATCATCGCCGCCCGCAACGGCCACACCAAGGTGGTCCGCCTGCTCCTCGAGCACTACCGCGTGCAGACCCAGCAGACCGGCACCGTGCGCTTTGATGGGTACGTAGGGCCGGCCGCCCGATGCCCGGGGCCTGGTATTGGGCATGGGGTTGGTGTTTGTATGGGGCCTGAGCTGCTGCTGGTCGCGGTGTATCTGAGCCCTGCCTTGGGCCCGGTGGTGGTTTGGCCGGGGCCTTGTTATGGTGTGTGCATGGCCTGTCCTGGCTTTGTCATAAGGTGTCTTGTGGTTCTCTTGGAGTATTTTCGGGCCACAAAAGTGACCCAGGGGATGGGACGCCTCCCCTAAGAGAGAGCTGGGGCTGCTCAATTTGGGGAGAAGAAGGCTCTGGGGGGAGCTGAAAGAGGCCTTTCAGCATCTGAGAAGGAAGGATGCAGACTCTTCAGTGTGGTCTCTGTGATAGGATAAGGGAAATGGTCTCAAACTAGGAGAGAAGAGATTTTGGCTGGGTGTAAGCAAGAAAATTTGTTACGATAAGACTAGAGAGGCACTGGCAGAGGCTGCCCTGAGAGGCGGTGGATGTCCCCTCCTTAGAGACACCCGAGGTCAGGCTGGAGGGGCTCTGGGCACTGATAGAGCTTAGGGTGTCTCTGCTCATTGCAGAGGAGTAGCAGCAGATGGCCTTCAAAGATTCCTTCCAACTCAGATAGTTCTATGATTCTGTGTTGATAGTCTGTCCTAGACGTGTTACGTTGTGCCCAGGGCCAGCACCAGGCTGTGGCTGCCTGCTTGGCATTGCTCAGCTGGTGGCTGGGCTGTTGGGGTGGGTATGGCACTGCTGTCCCAGCCACCTGATGCGCCTTCACCACTTCAAGCTGAGATTGCAGGCAGGGTTTTATTAGCCTGGTGGGCAGGTGACCCCATATGCATTCTGCACCAAAGCAGCTTTTCTGTGACATCAAGCATTCTGTGACAGGCTGCAAGTAGGATGAGAGTGGGGTGGTGCCACCTGCTTGTTCCAGGTGAGGCTTTTTCCATTCCAGCTCCGATAAGAAGCAGCTTCCTCACAGCTGGCACAGGGTAGTAGGGAGGAAAATGCGATGGTTTAGGACGGGCTGTGCTGAGGAACAAGGGCATTGCCCAGGAGCTGGGGTTCATGGTGCTGTGTGGCAGCAGGATGAATGCTTGTGGTTTGCTCCTCGTCTGGGGGGCGTGGCTGGCTGCAGAAAGCCTATTTCTAAATAGATTTTAGACTCTTAACAGCAGTGTTCTCTTCACAGCAAATGAGCAGCACATCCGTTCTGTTGGGTGTTGAAGTGGTTCTGCCTGTCCTCGTGTTCAACCTGCAGGCCATTGTGCTCCCACGTTCCTTTGCTTTGTTGTCACAAGCTTCATTACCTCTCTTGTTTTTAAAGTCTTTCCCAACTCTTGTCAAATAGTTGCCCATATGTCATTCTTAAAGCCAAGAATCGTGAAGGACCTTTTACCCTTTGAACAGCTCCAGGTTAAGCAGGTAGCTGGCTGTGTGCTGGCACAGAAAGGAGAGCTCTCATCAGATACTGAGAGGGATCGTCACCGTCCCCCTGTATCTCTCATCTGGCTCCTGCCTGATGAGCTGCAGAGATGTCTGTGCAGCTCCACCTAACCCAGGGGAAGGCTGACTTGCTTCTTGAATGCTGAATGAAGGGGGAGGAACTGGCTTCCCTGTGTGTGTGCTTTTTTATTCCTCTTTCAGCCCTCTTTTCACAAGTAAAAACTGGTTGAGAATACCTGCTGGCGTGAGTGTCTGTCCTTATTTTAGATAAAAGAAAGGCCTGTGTTGACAGAAAGTGATAGAAGGGCTGTTGTTTCCCTTGTGCTGCTGGATTTTCTCTCGTGCTGTGCATTGATGGGATGCTGATCTGCCTGCCAGAGCCTCTGCCTGATGCAGATTAAAGGAGGTGTTGTTTGACTTACAATGGGCACAGTGTGCCATCACCTCTCCCCTGGCCTCAGTAGGAGTCGCAGCCTGGTGAGAAGAAAGGCAGCATGTGATCCCAGATCATGCCTGGCATTATTTTCATTTTTGTGATAAGGTGGCCCAGAAACCCCCCTTGTTTGGGCTCCAAGCTTTTGACTCATAAATATGGGCCTGTAGTGCATTAGTAAATTACCTTGTGTTCACTCACAGGGCCTACATCCTGATTTACTTCTGTTCTAATAGAAAAGTACTTTGATGTGGTTATGTATGTGCAAAATAAGGAACTTCTTACTGGGAACAAAGGTAGCCACATCTGTTATATAGACATCTCTGCGTGCCAGGGCTCTTAAGTGGCCTCTGAAGTGTTGTCTGGAGATGCTGGATTTACAAACAGGCAACCAGCTGCTTCTGCAGAGCTTTGTAGAATGATGAAAATTGCTGCTGAAGCTGAAAGTGAGCCGGTGTCTCCTGATATTTTAATTCTGAAAAACGTGACTGCGTGGACGTATGGAAATAATCAGATATTTCTCCCTGCTCTGTGATCCGGGCTGTGCCTCCAATGTCTGTTGCCTGCAGGGCGAACTGTGCTTAAGTGCTGCTGCAGAGATCGAGGGGAATGGAAAGGACATCAGCCCTTGTGTTTGTAGTCGCAGAAGGTGCTGAAGATTTGGGGATGAAAATGGCTTAAGGAGCGGTGAGGCT